TTTTTCTTTTCCTTAATTTCTTTCTTGATTTCTTTTTGATCTCTTCCTTCCTTCCTTCCTTCCTTCCTTCCTTCCTTCCTTCCTTTCTTTCTTTCTTTCTTTCTTTCTTTTTTTTTGAGACAGGGTTTCTCTGTGTAGTTTTTGGTGTCCATCCTGGATCTCGCTCTGTAGACAGGCTGGCTTGAACTCATAGAGATCCACCTGGCTCTGCCTCCTGAGTGTTAGGATTAAAGGCGTGTGCCACCACTGCCTAGCTGACAGCAAGTTCTTTTACCCACTGACCTATCTTGTTCCCTCTAAATAATTGGATCTTTGTATATCTTCCTTTTGAAGATTTATTTGTAAGTGTGTGTGTGTGTGTGTGTGTGTGTGTGTGTGTGTGTGTGTGCGCGCGCGCACACACACACGTAATTTATGCACAAGAGTGCAGTACCTATGGAGGTCAGAAGAGGGCACTGGATCTGGAGCTAGAGTTAAAGGCAGTTGTGAGTTGCCCAACATGGGTGCTAGGAACCAAACTTGGATCTTATGCAAGAGCAGTATGAACTCTTAACCTCTTAGCCACCTCTCTAATCCTTTGTGGTCCATATGCAAGTTTAGTGTTACTTTTCCTCTTGACTAGAAAAGATGTTTTATATAAATATGTTAGTTCTATGACAAATGTGCATACAGAAAAAGTTTGTATTTATTATTCCACACAGGTGTTTTCAATTTTTACTTGGAAAAGGATATCAGTATTTATTCTCTGGATCCATTTTTTTTGTTGCTAAAAGCTCTTCCACATTTTAATATTCCTTATATTATTATTAGAATTAAAACTATACATTGGGGCTGGAAAGATGGCTGGCAGTTAAGACCTCATACAGCTCTTACAAAGGATCTGACTTTGAATCCTGGTACCCATGTCAGGCAGCTCACAACTGTCTGTAACTCCAGCTCTTAGTGATCTGACAACTTCTTCTGGCTTCCATAGGCATGTAGGTGCACACACACACACACACACACACACACACACACACACAATTAAATAATAAAATAATTCTTCAAACAAAACAAAACAGCAACAACAACATCAAAACACACACACACACACACACACACACACACACACACACAAACACACACATACCATGTCTTTACTTGATTTATATGTGATTCATGTTTGTATATCCTGTGAAGTATATTCTAGAATTTTTACACTGGCTGTTTCCCTCTTTGCATTTATTTTAAAAATATGTTTCCATTTCCAAAAATATATACTTGCTTTGTAAGGTGGTACATATCAGATAAGGTGAGATCCTGTGTAGGAAAGTACACTTACACAAAGCCTTTTAGATGTGTGCATAACTTATCTACATCACTACCATTCTCTCTCTTCATTGTTAAGGGCATCCTTATTTTATAGGATATTTGATTTTTGTTATAATTCTTACTTAATTCATCTTATTTATTTATTTATTTATTTATTTATTTATTTATTTATTTATTTATTTATTTATTTTACAGGTGTGAAAGCCATTCCTGGTTTTGTTTGTTTGAAAGATGTAAGAGGACATTGTTTTGGGGAACTGAGGAAGCATTTTCTTTTATTGGAAGATAAAAGCCTCCTTTCCTATAGCCACTGCTCCTCCTCCTGGTTTGGATGTACATGACAGATCCTGATTCTTGGAGCTATGGCTGTCATCTTGGGAACTCGAGGAAAAAATACTGACTTGTTTAGAGTGGCAAGGGGAAAGAACTTGAAAGAGCCTGGGTCTTTTGACATCATAGAGTTTCTGACCAAGCCCAGAGTTCCCTCTCTTCACATTCCTGGATCAGTGAGATAGCAAAATAGCTATTGATTGAGCCGTTACTACTCAAGGACGAATGCTAATCAATGGTGTACTTCCATGTGCTTCTGTGGAGGTATACATCTGAGTGTGGTCCCTTGCGGGGACTTCTGTACACTAGGAAAGAATGTGAGAGTCAGAAGTTTGGAACAGGCCAGGTGTGTAGAACATATCACTCATTCCAGCACTTGGGAGGCAGAGGCAGGCAGATTTCAATGGGTTTGAGTCCAACTTGATCTACTTAGTGAGTTTCAGGCTAGCCAGAGCTGTATAATGAGAACTTGCCATATATATATATATATATATATATAATATATATATATATATATATATATGAACTGACTGAGTTAGTAAAATGAGTCTTCCCTTGCTGTTTTCTACAATGAGCACAATGTCACTAACTCACAGAGCTTTTGAAAGGACTAAATAAAATGATTTAAATGAAAGCACTTTGCAGCTTAACAATGGCTTTATGGATGTATTGTTAGATATCCTACCACTCTTGGACTGTAGTATGTGTGTGTTGGGGGTGGGAGAGGTGAAGGTATACAGGTAAAAAGGACTTTGGTGAATTGTGTTTTGTGAACAACACTGTGCCCTGCTCCTCTGAAGTGATTTTTACTGAAATATGCTCCGAAGTCTTAATCTGTCCCTTCTATGTCCAGTTCCCTCTGACTTACTTCCCATTTTCCGTACATTGAGTGAGACTCACTATTTCATTTTCCTATTCCTCATCTTGACTGTCCCTGTCAGAAATAGACTTACCTTGTACCCTGTTTCCTTGAGCCCCTTCATTAATTATCACTCATCGACCTAGTGTGGGCTGGTGTGTGCCAAGGGCTTCTTGCACAGCAGGTTCAGACTTTGATGGGAGCCTTGAACTGACAACAGGAGTTGTCAGGGTCATGGAATGAAGTCAAGTCAAGTGCTTGCCTTCTTGGTGTTTCTGAGAGGCCCCAGCTGGGACTGATGCTCAGATGACAACTACTCACCGCTCCACAAGGTTGGACCCTGTTGATGTCCTCTGTGCTTGATGATGACTTCACCCCTGACTTGGAGGAGGTGGTTGACTCAGAAAATTGAAAGGGGGTGGGTTCTAAGTCTATCCACTCTGTGGAGTATTTCTACTGAAGTGATTTGGGTTTTTGTTTTGTTTTGTGGTTGTTTTGTTTTGTTTTGATTTGATTTGATTTGGTTGTTTTTGTTTGGGATTTTTTTTTTGAGGTAGAATCTCTCTTCATAGCCCTGGCTGTCCTGGAACTCACTATTTAGACTAAACTGACCTTGAACTCACAGACATACACCTGCCTCTGACTCCTGAGCACTGGAATTAAAGGTGCAAACCACCATGCCTGTCCCAAAGGGAAACTTATATGAAGTTAATTTCACAGACTGAAAAAGTTCAACAACAAAGCCATGTTCAAAAACAGTGACCATGAGCCTTAGAATTTGAAAAATATTTCTCCAGGTACCTAATCTTGGCCCTTGCCAAACCTAAAAGTAGACATTTCCCTTTGTTTTGTTCTCTTCTGTTGTCTCTTTTGTGCCAAGATCTAAGGTCAATGCATCAATAAAAGCAGTAGAGCCAAGTAAGCAAGGATTCTGAGCCCAGCGATCATGACAGCCCATCCATTTTTAACCATGTTCGACCTACAAACTAGGGTGGTGTCTTATAGTTTGATGTAATGGTATAATTTTATTATTTGGTGACTGCTTACTGAGGGCTGATTATTAAATAACTTTAACAGCTCCCAAGCGGCCAAGCTTGGATCTGAGCAATGTCTGATATCAGCACCCCTGCTTCCCCCAATTTTTAATGAACCTTTTCTCATTTTCTGGCCTCTAGATAATACAGCTAAAGATAGACTTTTCCGACATTTTGAAGTTCACTATACTCCTCAGAAAATGTGAGAGAATGCAGCCAGCCTCCTCAGGAAGATTAGGAGGGCAGTAAGATAACACAGCCACCTCCAGGCTGATATTTGAGCCCTGCTTTCTACACGGTCAAGCCTTTCAGAGGCAGCCAGCCTATGGCTTGTATCAAACTCTATATTTAGGAAGAACAACTGTGAGCTATGACAGGAATTCTCTTTAACACTTAGCCTTAAACCAAGTTCCCCTCTATCCCCAAGCCAGGAGCAGCTCTCAGGACCGGAGAGCCAGAGCACTCCAGCTATTTCAGCCACATGAAAAGCGCTGGAATTGAGATCCCAGCTCAGACGACACCGGGAGTTCCTTCTACCCTCTAAAGAGCTTTGTGTTTTCTCACCTGGCTGCTTGGGACTGTCCTCAGGCAGTAAACAAATCCAGAGAGCAGGTAAGCAGAAGGACCCAGCTTTGGCTCTCCACTTTCTAGAGGAAATTTCTTTGATCACTGACGTAAAGTGACTACTCATAACTTTGTAGTTTGCTAAGTACTGGGTGTAGCTTCTTTGTCAATTGCCCGCTCACTGGTGATAACACTGATTGTATAAAGTAAGTGTGTGTGTGTGTGTGTGTGTGTGTGTGTGTGTGTGTGTGTGTGTGTGTGTGTGTGTGTTGAACTAAAGGGGTTTTCATTGACAGAAATGTTAAAAAATATCTACAATCCAGATATGATAACTATGACCTTGAAGCTCTGCTGGCTAGTGTTACAGTCAGCTGCAGACTGCTAACAGGCTCTAAGCTGAGAATTAATCAGAAGTGTAGGCAGAGGAAAGCTGGAACGTTAGTTTTTGTTTGTTTAAATGAAAACCATTGTGAGAGTTTAGACAGCGTAAGTTTAGAATCCCTCTCTCCTTTCCTTAAGTGCCAGGCTTGGTCTCAACAACAAACTTATGTAGACAGAATCATCTTTTCGAGAGCTTTGCTTTGGTCACGGTTTTCCCGTACCCAGCAGGGTAGAGGGCAGCACTCAGTGTCCTTCTCTCCATGGACACCAGATTCCAAGGTACGGAACTGCAAAAACTCTTTCTCTTCCCTCCCAGCATAGTGAAGTGGTCAGAGCATCATTCCCCACCTCCTTGGGAATTATTTTTAGCTCCAGGACAGAAGATAAATCCCTTTGAGATAGAGCCTTACTCATTTCCTTGACCTTTCAAAAGAACACACAAAGCTCTTCTTTCCAAACAGCGATTGATTTGCCCCTTAATCTCTTCTTGTGAAATTAGTGATATTAATGTTGGATGGTTATAGTAAGTTGAAGGGTTTTATTTAGAAGCTAGATATTAGGTGATGCCCAATCAAAAGCAAATAGGGGTCTATCATCCATGACTCAGCATACAGATCATTAAAATTTCCCACAGACTGCCAGGAAAACTTACCTGTGCTCAGTTGGCAAGCCTCACCAGTTTATTAAAGTCAATATATGCCTTGTCAAACGTGCAGTGTTTCAAATTTTAGCCAGATCCAGGAGACAGACGTAGCGAGTGCATGTTGTAAAGAGTACCTATTTGGATCAGAAGCAGTGGTCCTGAAGTGGGTGGTGGTAGGGTGAGTATAGAAAGCATCGCTTGCTGTTTCCACCCATGGAAGAAGCACGCAGATGCAGAGGGAAGGTGCACTACACTCTACATCCTGATGGAGGTGAATGCTCGACCAGGGAAACAGCCAGGGAACACTGTCTATTTTTATTCATCACTGTGCTTTGCCCTGATTTCTCTGCAAATAATGAGAGCAGCAGGAACTGCTGCTGAACTGATTTATACAAATATTCTGTAGCCTGATGGTGAGAAATGAGAGCAGAAAGAGAACGACTTTCTGTAGATGTCTCTATTGAAGATGGTCGAAGATGTTAAGAAAAGATTCACATACAAATGAGAATCTAACAAAGCTAGATAGGGGAGACAAGGTTCATGCATCTGTTAGGCCAGAGTGGCCCAGAAAATACTATGATCCAGTAGTTAGTGCAAATTGTCAGTGAAACAATAAATCACGGACAAAAATCAATGTAGTATAAGTAAAACCACTCATTGTTTGCTGCTTTTGCATTTCAATTTGCTACTGTAATCACATAAGGGCATTTCCGAATCCTCATGATTGAAATTAATATACAGTAACATAAACAAAAAAACAAAACAATGTTGCCAGGTGGTGGTACACGCCTTTAATCCCAGCACTTGGGAGGCAGAGGCAGGTGGATCTTTGTGAGTTTGAGGACAACCTGGTCTACAGAGCCAGTTCCAGGACAGTTAGGGCTACACAGAGAAACCCTGTCTCAAAAATATGTTAATTCAACTCTAGTTGTATTGCACACACAGTGAACACTGTGCTCAGGTCTTTAAAGTCTTATAAGAATGATAATTTTTGCATTATTTTTCTTAACTTTTGGCAAGTGGAAACGTCAAAAATTAAGCCATTTTAAGCATCTCATTTTGGAATTGAGCTGTGTACCCTAGAATGAATGACAAATTAGAATGTTCTTCACGTCTCTTCTATGCTGAATGGAAGGTAGCACTCCACTTAAAACTAATCATAGAAAAAAATGTATTCTTGATTGTTCAATCTGTTGTTCTTACTTCTTTTTCAACTACATTAAAATTGGGTCTTCCTGGACTCTTATTGTGGAAGCAGTGCCTATATCCTAGCGAAACATTTAGTTGAAACTTTAAAAGTTCTGTTATTTTCATGTACGTAGCTCCCCAAACTATATAAGGTACAATAATTGTAGATATTTTTAAAATAAATATACAATTATTTATCTTCATAGAATAGAAGCTAAGATCTAAAATTAAAAAAAAAAACCCCTGCATTTTTGCCAAAGTTATCTGGTCGTTTATTTCTGTGTTCAAGACCAAGCATCAGTTCTTCACTGTACTTGTCTGCAGATGAGGACAACATTCAGAAGTCGTTAGCTGTGGCCCTTGGAAATAATGCAACAAACATTCACACCACGCTTTGGAGTTCAGAAAGCCTTGCCAGAGGCATTATGTCACTCAAATCTTACCATAACCTGTGAAGCAGGGCCATTTTGAGGAACAGAAAACAGACCTAGAAATATTGAATAACATTGCCCAAACTTCAGGTCACGTGTGAAATATTAATACTGCTCCCTGTGTTCATTCAGTCATATGTTAACACATATGCATAGCGCTCAGTAGATAGAATTCAGTTAACTTATTTAAGGCTTAGAACAGAGCATGTTTTTAATTCAATGAGTTTTTAACTTTTTACTTGCTCTGGTTGATGTTTAACAGACAGCTATAAAAACAGGCCAGAGCTGGGTTCATTATTATTCTTTGTTCCTTTAGCTCCAGCAAACCATAGCCTATATCCCTAGATGGGCTTTGGTCCCAGTGCTCAAAGTTAAGTCTCATGTGTTTAAAGAAAGTTGGGGAAGAAAACACTTCTACACTTTGGGGGGTCCAATATGTAGTCATAATTCTACTTGCCTTCTAAGGTAGTTCTACTGAAAGAAGACTATAAATGAAGGCAGAGTTTTTCTGTCCCAGCTGCCTGGTCGCAAATAAACACACAAAAGCTTATATTAATTACAGAGTGCTCGGCCAACAGCTCAGGCTTATTACTAACTAGCTTTTACATTTAAATTAACCCATTTCTATTAATCTATGTATTGCCATATAGTCAGTGGCTTTATCAGTCTTCTGTCATCTTGCTTCCTGGGAAGCTTGCTCCCACCTCTCCTGACTCTGCCCTTCTTCATCCCAGTCCTCAGTTTGATTTTCCTGCCTAACTTTATCCTGCCTTGCTATTGGTTAGCCATCTAACTTTATCGTGCCTTGCTATTGGCCACCCGCCTAACTTTATCCTGCCTTGCTATTGACTGAACAGCTTTATTATTAACCATAAATCACAAAAGAGTAAATCATATTCACAGCATACAGAAGAAATATTATACAACATAAGACAGCTAAAGAACTTTCTGGCTCCAGTGTGTCTAGAGCCTAGGCTTATTAGGGATGGTTGGGTGGGATATATGTGAAGATTAAACAACTCAGCTCTTCAGATAGTCTCCCAGGTCTCTGGGAGGAGAGGTATATGTACAGCTGAGAGAGGGTATTCGGAAGTGGAGACATCTTTGGGTATTCTACAGAGAATAGTTGCCCCTGGTGAACTGAGTAGCTGCCCTGGCAACAGTGAGTACAGATCAAAAGTTCAGTTTCAAGCCGAGAGCCTCTGAGGCCGAACAAAGGTGTTTTATTCCCACCACCTCTTCAGTTTGCTGCTCTTGGCAGAAGGTCAAGAGGGCAGGGAAAGAGATGATAGGGCCTTTCAAGTTTCTGATCACCTATCATTTGCATCAGGGGCAAGGCATCTCAGTATATCTCCTCTTGAATGATTTATCGAGGTGCTCTAGTGTTCCCTCTCCCAGAGGCATTGGGAAGGAGAGTCTCCAAGTAACTACAGAAACTGAGACTGAAAGAATATATGGCCAGTGAAAGGGGCGACTGCCCAGTTGAATCATGAGTTAAAATTCTAATTTATCAAGACCTTGAATCTGAAGGCTGCCACCTCTAACAGTGTGTTCTTTGTTTTTGTTTTTTATTTTAGGGATAAGATCTCGTGAATATGTCGAAACAGCCAATTTCCAATGTTAGAGCCATCCAGGTAAGTAGGTATATTTGTGTTTTACCATCAACTCGGTGGCTTCTGGTCCGATTCCTTAGTAAGTCATACCAACTGCGATTGTTCATTTCTAACTGATTATTAACTTTAAGAAAAAAAAAAAAAGAACGTTCCTCTTTATAAGACTTAGGGGGCAGAACTGAGAAATAAAACTGATAGGGTGGAACTGAGAACCGAAGCTACTTTTGATTGCTCTGAATCGTAAGACAAAGTTTATAAATGAGAATTACATTCTACAAAAGGTACTAGATTCACAATAACCTATTCTATCCTTTATGAAGAACCAGAGAGAGGCTCCAGAAGGCCCCAAAATAACAAAGAGTGGGAAATACTACTTAATCTAATTTGATCAGTATATCTGGTATGCATGTATAAAAATATAGTACTAAAATATACTGTTTCCCATAAGGATATATAGCTATTACAGGCTAATTAAAATATGTTTGTTTATATGGGATTTTTATATGTCCATTGATAGAGAATAGAAAATTCAATTTTAATTTTTGTAATCAACTGATATGCAGATATAACAGTAGGTCACAGTTTGCTTGACTCATTTGTTTCAAATATATATTTTGGGGCCGGAGGTTTAGCTCAGTAGTAGAGCACACAAATTGTATGTATACAGCTCTGAATTTAATTCCCAGCACTAATAAAATAAAATAAATCTTTCTTTAAACAATAACCTTTTAAAGTCAACAGTTCTTCCAAAGCCTTGTGAGTTTAAGTTCATATATTATTAATTTTCCTCATGTCATTCCAACAAACTTGTTGGTTGCTTAAACTGGCTTAAGTGTCATCCACAAAGAGGAGATGGAGGAGCAGGCATTTGGAATGTAGATACAATATGAAAATAACTTTCAGTACGTGTTTTTACTAAAGACTTAATCTGTTATTTTTTTTTTTTTGAGGGCTCTGAGTTTAACTCTCAAATAGCTCCCACCCCTGGGCACAATACTTTACTGTCAAATTCTGTCTTCCTATTGTCAGCACAGAATCTAACTGTGCTTTCTCCAAAGAAACTTCTTTCCTTTCCTGGCCTTTTCTGAATGCTGCAGAGCACTCAGTGGCTCCTGAGTATTGTAATTCTGATGCACTAAACACAGCATAAACACAGTGACAAATGGCTGACTGAGCTTTGGAGTGCTCTGTGAACATTCAGCCAGGCTGTGAACATGCTGTTGAAGGTTTGAGAAATCCTAGTACACAGCAGTGGTGAAGGGTGTTGGAGAGACAGATCTTTACTTGTCATGACTAATGCATACCCTTAAATTGATGGCGTTCTTAAATGGCAGGACATATACCAGTCTCTGGAAACCTGTCACTGAGCAAGCCCAAGGAGGGGCCTATGCATTTGGCAAGGATTTCCTTTCACATGTTGACAGTTGGCATTCTGCTATCCCTATCTAGTGAGTCTCTTATGTACACTGACAAAACCGTGCCCACTGCCATTATTTTGTCACCTGGACCTGTGAACCTTGAGCCTTGAATCTTCTCTTTTACATGATATTCAAATAGTAGCACGGACTCTGAAACAGACTGCAGTCCTGAATCCATCTTGTGCTGGTGCAGAAACGTGGAAAAGGACTTCCTGCTGTTTTACCCCTCTAGACCTCCATCTGCAAACCTGTGGAATGGAGGTAATAGTAGTTCTGTTTAGGAATTAACAAATGAGACCCCCAAAATAGCATAGTAAGCTATCATTGGAGACCAGCCATTATTCTATTTATATCACAAGGGTAGTTTATGTCAGAGTTTTGATTGCTGCACTCCAAGCTCTTGAAGTGCTAAACAGAAAATTTCCTTTTTATTTTTCAAAACACTATCAAGCTGCTTTTTCATCCCTTCCTTTTAAAGCTGAAAGTGTATTGATTTTTCTTCCTTAGTGCCCTCTGGCTCACACAAATCTCCACTGAAAATTCACCAGCATTTTATTTACTAAATTTGACCTTGATGTATTTTAAGGTCTGCAATATTTAAAAAGCTGCTATTGACCATTCTCAATAGCTGTTATTATGCTGTATTACAAAAAATCCATCCACTTTACCAACAAGGGCAATCAGTGGTTCCTTATGGATGTGGTGTTGTCTCTTTCAATATATTTGATGTTTCACCGAAAGACCTATTTAATGCACTTTCAAATGAAATATTTTTTGTTGTGGCTAGTGTCAGCACTATCTGATATTTTCCTATCATCCTTACATTAACCTTAAACAGGGCACATTAAACAAACATCAAAGTTGTGACACAATACAAAACAGTTCATAGTAGGAACATTAGATTATGATTTTCTCTGGAGCAAACACAAAATCTGATGAGAGAATACTCCAATTGTGTAAATATCATAGGATGCTCTTAAATGGTATAATTAACACACTTTAGTCACTTCATTTTTTTAAAATTACTCTATCTTTTTGTGTGTGGATGTTTTGCCTGGATGTATGTATGTGCACCACCTGTGCCTGGTGCCCAGTGCCCACAGAAGCCTGAAGAGGGAGTCAGATCCACCATGTGAGTACTGGGAAAGGAACCTGGGTCCTCTGAAAGAGCAGCTAGTGCTCTTAACCTCTGACTCATCTTTCCAGTCTATAACCACTTGTTTTTACTAGACTCTTATCTACAGTTCTATTCAACTGCCATTTTCAGGGGGGCATAGTATGTGCCAGGAGTATTGTACACAACAATGAGTTGACACCTCATCTCTGTTCTTGATAAGCTCATAGCTTGCAGTACTTAATACCTACATGACTTTGGGCAAGTAGTTTATCTTGTCTGTCCTCCATCTTTTATCTGTTAATGGAAATAGTAGCAGGACATGTTTCATAGTGTTTCTGCAAGTATGAAATGAATTTAATACATGTAGATGCTAGGCCAGTGTCCAAATGATAGTAATTACTTAATAAATTGCTGTTACCACCCATTGATCAGTCATCAGTTACAAATATCTGTGACTTTAAGCATCCTTAATTTACTTTTCTGTAAAAATTGGGACAAACACTGCTATGTAACAGGACTACTATAATGAATAAACTAGATAGTTCATCACAAATCTCTGTTTCTGGTACACAGTACACACACTCCTTAAAAGATGAGTCATCTGCCTATGCAATGCAAGGAACTCCATTTCCCCCATGTACCAAAGTAACATGGAGGATAGATAGACTAGGCTCATCCTTACAAAAGGTAGATAGCTGTCTTTCATATTTGCTGAAGATGACCGTTATTCCCCACTGCATTAAGTCTCAGCTAATGGCATCAAAACATTTTGAAGGAGCCAGTTTACTTTTCCCCAGACTAGAGAGAGCTCTTTAAGCTGCTTGTAAAGTTTTATATCAGATGTTGACAAGACATTTTCTAGAAAGAACCAGATAGACTGTAAATATGTTAGGCTTTGAATTGTTTGGTCTGCTTCAACTGTCATCTCTGCTATTATTTTCTGAAGCAATCACAAAGCCATAAGTGAATGAATGTGCCTGTTTCCCAATGGCTTGTTTAAAATTTAAAATTTAGGTGGTGGGTTGCATTTGTCCTGTGGATTGCAACTTGACAATCCCATTGTTGATTATAATAGAGCTGCAACCAAGGCGACATCAGCACACTCTGTACACTGGGTCTGTTCCCTTCAATTGAAGGGATGTGACATGACAGGTGGCAGGGAAAGTTAGAACTGCTGAGAAATCTAATGCCATCAGCCATCTGTGCAGTGGCTTTCTCTAATGAGAACAAGTGATACCAGCCATTGGCTGTATCTTCTGGCCCTTCTGAGCACACCAATTTTGGGAGTCCTCACAGGCCTCTCAGGGCCTCAGCTCACACAGCCAGTCATCTCTGGGTTGACATTGATCCATTCTTTCTGGTATTTGTCCTGTCTCTTGAGATCTAAGAGCATCATGACTGACTAGAAAAGAGACTTATGCCCTAGTTGTGGCTGTGCTATGTGATTTGACTAAAATAGTACTCATGATTTGTAAATAGAAGATGTTGTATCAAATGACCTTTAAAGCCCTGACCAGCTTCTAATAGCCTGTGCATCTCCTGAGAATAGCTTCTAAGGCTTAATTTTTGTATAACAAAAATAGTTACAGTACAGTGTACCTTTCATACATTGCAAGTTAGTGTTGAAAAAATTAACTGATGTACCTAGGATTACCTAAGACTGAGTCAGGTGACTCAGTCATTCACTGTGATCCTAAAATGCACTGTTCTATGGTTTTCTTGCTAACTCCACCCATCCTTGATATAGAAGTGAATGGCTGTGGACCATCTCAAGGGAAACCACAAGTGCCAAGTCCACCTGAGATGCAATATCTTTTCATGGATGACTTGTGTTTTCCTCTTAAATAATTCACCCGACATTCATAAATGTCTTTTGAATGAAGATGCTGATAACCACTTAAAGTCATATTAAAAGCAAGTTGGTTTGAAGTGAAAAGCACAAAGCAAAATAATTCCATGATGAATGTGGTCTTGAAATATAAGCAAGTATGGCCACTATATTACCTCTGGCTTAACTGACTTAATCAAGCTTCATGTGATCCTAAATCTAACTGCTTTATCACACATTCAAAGGAATGATTATCTGAGCCTTGCATTGTTAGGGAGCATGTGGTTTCTTATTATGGGAAAATTTCCCTTGCTGCACAATACACATGCAGAATGGAATATTTCTGTACCACACATTTTAGTACTTACTTTATCCACCCGTTATCAGTGCTCTTCTACTCTCCATAGCCCAGGGCATAAAGGCTCCATGGAAACAGAAAGCAGCTCCCATCAAAGCAAAGGCGGTATACAGACAGGTTTGATGGACTGTTTATCCTGGGTTGGATTTCAGGTTTTAAAAAAGGATTCTAAGTGTATGACAGTCCTTACTACAAAGGAGCAGACTACCATCCTGTGTGGCTGGTCAGCTAATCATTGATTAAGCTAAAAATCCTAACAATGACACATACTTTCCTTCATATTTTATTTAAATTAAAAAAGAATTTTAACTTTCATTTGATGTTTGTTTTCCTATAGAGGCAAGACCTTTTCTTTGATCATAGGTCTACTGTTTCTTTCTTACATAAACTACTCAAACACACTGTTTATGATTTTCAATGCTGGTTTCTTCAAAGTGTAGCAAGAATTTGAATATAGCAGTTTAACTCTCAAGTAGGTTTGGTGTTACTCCAGCCAATGCTTTCTGATGCTTTGATGGAGGCTCCAACATTGTGACATGAGGCAAGAAGTCATACCCTGACTACAAGATGTCATGCTTTTAATGCTGACATTTACAAGTGCTTTAGAAATATAACCTGTCCCCCAACCAATTATGCACATTGTCTTAAAAGCTGTACAGTACATTCTTGAAATCTGCTTTACCACGGATGACAAGATTACAGTTGAGTCATTCAGGAAATTGAAGAGAACAAAAAATGTTGAGAACAGAGTGTTTGGGGGGAGACCTTGCAGAATGAAACATCATGGGTGAAAAAGAGTGACTGCGTGGGAGTTTCTCAAAACTGTTGAGTGGGAAAGTTTGGTGTTTTGAATCAATTCCACATTTCAGGTATTTCTAGGTCTTTATGCATTCTACTGCTGTAGAATTTTATTTCAAAATGAATCATCTATCTCTTAGTTAGTAGAGGTGTGTGCTCTTTTGTACCTCTTATTTTAGGCTAATATATCAAAAAAATCTCATTTTCTAGTCTAAAAGCACACTTCTTTCTGCAAATCTTCAGTAAAGATACTATAAATCTCAAAATGTCATGTTGCAATTCATTCAGAGAAGGACAAGGCCCAAGAACAAGACATAGCAGAAAGAAATTCTGAAACATACAAACCTACAGGCTTTCCTGTCTACCATAGGAGAATGGCACACAGGAGGCCATCGATACTGGCAGACATGCTGGGACATTTGAAAACAGAAGATAGCATCAGTGGGTGTGGGAGTCCTTGCAAACACACAGTGTTCAGATAAATCACAGTAGTTTCTGTAAAAGAGCTAGTGAGTGGAGACAAGAAAAAAAGGAGAGGATAGATCAGTAGCTGTGGAATGAGGTTTAGTAAGAATTGCCAGAACCCAGTGAGCAGCAGCTATCAAAATCTAACCCTTTGGGGAAAGAAGATGTCATCCCACTGTAAGCCATAGAGTAGTGACTCACGGGGGAATATTGTTTCCAGAATCATACTGGCTCAAAGCCTAGAGCCAAGGAAGGAGAACAATACAAATAATTAAGGGAGTGGTGGAATTAACTTACAGGGAATTCTTTCTACTTTTCTTCACCTGGTGAGATCAAGAGCAGTATTAATTTCACATCAGATAGATCTTCTAACAGGAAACATTATCCTGCTCTAGCCAAAGATGACCTGTTATATTTTTTTCCATTTCCAATTTAGAGAATGTAACAAATTATGTATAGCTTGGGAAGGTGATGAAGCAGATCTGCTGCATCTGGGGCGTATTTCAAGAATCTAACATGCATAAACTTCAAACAGGAACAAGAAATAAGAATAGCAAGCTTTGAGGTGTTGGTGAATGACTTTAATCCCAACACTTGGGGAGCAGAGGCAGGAGAATATCTGAGTTTGATTGGTTTATAGAGCAAGTTTCAGCACAGCCAGGACTATACAGAGAAATCCTGACTCAAAAAACAAG